TATTTATGCTGTTGCCTTGTAATTGCAATTAAACCTCATTAAATTTAGTAAATAAATCTATTAAATAGGTAAGTCTAGTTTTCCACTTGATTAAATTTCCTTTTAATATTAGTCACAATCTGGTTTGATGAGAGCCACTATCGTAGACCCCCATTTACACCTCATGAACCCTCAAATTATATTTTTGCTGTCGTGGACCCCTTGCAAATCGTCATAGACTCCTGGGGTCCATATAGACCACTTTGGGAATCACTGGTCTACATGCTCGAATATAGTTTACAATTTTGCTGACTATTTTAAAACATGTCCAATATCTAAAAAATACCAAAGAACAGTACTTGCTATGCAATAATGCAATGAAAATGTTTAAAATTATTTTTACCATGCTGTTTGCTTGTTTCTTTTAATTTTGCAACTCGTTAGTAATACTGGTCATGGTAAATGCATTATCAGTTGCACAACAAACCAACTTTTCCAAGGAACACTTCATCAAAAGTTTAAAAAATTCATCAAAAATATGTATTATGCATAATACATGACTCGACTCCACTATAATTCTCAACTATTTCATAACCTCTGCTGGTTAAAGAATTTCGACTTACAATTTAATTTTTTTTATTTGTGCTGGACATGAAACCGTTTTTTCCCCCCCCCCCAAATCTAAGTTGCCATCAATTTTAAGCCACATCCCAAATTCTCAACAAATTTTTGTGAAAAATGAAAAATAATATAAAATGGTTTATCGATATCAAATTTTACGAAATTAAATAAATTTAAACTGAGAACTAATAAGAAAGGAATAATTAGTTGTTTTATCAGTATTATAGACTATTAATTACATACATGAACCCGTAATTGCTCTAAGTATCCCATCCAACAATTTTTCTCTTCGATTCTAAACGGCACCCGATTTTCAATAGCATTACCATTGGAAAAAAAGTGCGGCTTCGAATCCAACAAATACGGTTATTCTTAATTAAGCTTACGCTTAACGGTTACGCTTTAATTAAGCATTCACTAATAAATTATTTTTAAGTAAATGGCTTCAATTTGTGCTTGCGATTAAAAGTGATAGTATATAACTAGTTTTTACAGCAGTTGTATTGTCTTCAACAAATTTAGGGGGCCGCGGTAGCCTAGTTGTGAAGGTAACGGACTCGATTCATACGAATTCGAGCCTTGTACCGCTGAAGACCCCCATGCAGAGGAGACCGATGCACTTTTAAATGTTAAGGGTCAAACGTTCTCGGAGAAGGGGTGCCAGCTCAGGTTTTCGTCCTCACTTTGACCATGATCCGCTGCTAAACGCCCTCGGAGTCGCTGAACAGTGTGACGTTTATCTCACTCTCATTCACTCACTCAACAAATTTAAACAATACTTTTCACCTTTCATTTTTGAAGATTTGATTTCAATTCCGGCAAATCGTCTTCACAAAGTTTCGCAACATACTGTTTATAATTCGTTTTCTGATTTGTGTCTTAATGCCTTTTAAAATTATATTCCTTAGCAACTGAATTACAGTTTTTGCATATCAGGCACAATATTTTTTATCTTGTTTTCGACAACGAAATATTGCAGTTCCCATTTTTTTCGAAAATTATGATGTTCATCTTCAGTTCATCTTTTATTACTCTGTTCTTGAAGTTTGATCATATTTTTATTAAATGACTTTTTAGTTCATTATGAATAAAAACCAAAATCTACGTTCATTCACAAACGATTGAGTAAACACTGCACTTTTTGTCTTGGTCATCATGGGGGATTTAAATTTTTAAAAAATAAATCTTCAACTTCCTCTGACGTCAAGCTATTCGCCTCTCGTTGATTGGACACTTCAAGGAGAAATAAAGGTAGCACACACGATGAATCGTAGGGCGATCTATAGCATATAATATTTTTTAATGCATTTAAGAATGTAATAAAAATTCGTTTTTCATAGTAAAATTAAATGAAAAAATGTAATAAAATATTACAAATAAATTTTATTCAAAGGCTATATTTATTATTAAAAAGGATTTTTTTTCGAAAAAGAATAGATAGTAGGTTAATATATCGTAAATTTTTAAAAGAGGTTTTCCAGAAATAAATTTCAAAATGAAAAAGCCCTTAAAAATTGCTTTTTATAATTTTGTAAAATATCTCCGCGGGCCGCAACCTATGTATTGGTGGGCCGCATGTGGCCCGCGTGTTTGACATGCCTGATATAGAATAACTAATTTATTTAAGTAATATTATGATAACCAATGAGCAAAAAATTTTCTTAATGTGATATACGCGTTTACTTATGTTTTCGTATTTATTCTCTCTCTCTCTTAAATCCCCAATAATCTATAAAACTATTATTTTCTGATTACACATTGGTATTCTTAACATATTTATACATATTGATAAACCGACTGTAAAATAGTAATTCTTTTCTTTTTTTTATAATAATTTGTTCTAGAATTCTAAAAGATGTGTTTTAATAAAGTTAGCAAATAATAATACTGTATTTTTATAATACTGTAGAATCTTCTTAGTACAAAAATTTTCTAACTAAATTTTTTTTTTAACTCATAATTTTAGTAAATCTCGAAATTTTCTTTAAGCAAGTTTTAATGTAATGTGTGACACACATCTCTCAAAACTGTATTCTATATTTTTGTTCATATTTTTAACCTCTTCCAGATTTGATGTACTTTTTCAGAAATACATTTCTTCAAATTCATATCATGCACATACGAGACAACATTATCACATTCAAAAAAGAATATTATTTTTGTAGACGAGCGCGAACACTGTTCAATTGTTTTTAAATTATTCCAACAAAACATAAACTTAAAAATTGTACACTACATAATTAGGCGTTCTTACTTTTTTGAATTCTATGAAATGTAACACTAAGAAATAATACAATGTTAATATTCCATTATTTTTAAACAAACAAAAAGGAAATTTCTCTGTGTGAGGAGGGAAAAAATAAAAAAATAAACATCCAAATTTAATAAAAATATCATGTATTTCAGTTTTCGTTCTTCCCTATAAAATCGTTCAGAGAGGAAACTACAGATATTGAGTTGAAATTGTTTTTGTGAAATAATAAGAGTTGAAAGGATTGGGGGGGGGGGGGGATTAGATTCTTCTGAAAGTTGCACATGAACTTCGAAGCAATTTCGTAATAGAGTTAAATTAAACCCCAGACTAAACAAGCTAAACGACATAAAAAACAGACAGCAAATATGAATGACTGTTGTCAAATTGTTTGTTAAATATGCTAGATCTTGAAACAGGATGGACTCAAGAATTAACCTTTGCACATTATCTAAATTCGAGTATGTTGGATTCATAATTAACAACTACGTAATTAATAAATCACTATTATTTATTAATCCTTCTTATGATAGAATACACAAACATTAATCAAACTTTAAGAACAACAAATTAAGTGGAGTGGAAAAGAATTCAATTATGAACGACGGAACACTACTGAACCCCGCGGATACGCATACAATCAAACTACGCATTTATAACTATTTAGGAAAGTAACAGACCTGATATCTTTTTTAGCAGGATTCTTTACTACTTGAAGGATCTAAAGAGCGTCTTCAATCCTTGATATCTTCAGTTACGTCCGAACCGAATTAATGAAGCTTTTCAATAATCTTCCTTCAGCTAACAACTTCACTTAGTTAAACTAATCTCCTAGATCACCTTCTTAATCAATCTCGTAGTTAACTCCTCTATCAAACACGTAGTCATCCTCTTCTTTCATTTCATTTCTCCTTTTATATCTTTTCGAACTCGCTAAACCGAAACTATCTTATTTGCATAAGTCACACTTTTAGCTCTCAGCGGGATTGGTTAAAATAAATACAATCTTAAAAGAATTTGAGAGAAGGTTAGTGAAACGCGTAAGCACCGTCAAATGATGCGAAATTTAAGTTTTTCTTTTAATGCTTGTAAATTTAGTGTACTCTAAAATTTATCTTCTGCAAGCAATTTTAATTAGAAGCCCTTTTTTCACTTGTAAATTCATTGAAAAAATTATAATTCTCGAAAAAAAAAATTATTATTTGATACATATATTTTGTGTCACTTTTTAATGAATAGAATTGCAAAATAATAAATCTATTTGGTCCAATTTTCTTGATAGCAAAAATACTTTTTCATTCTTTTAAAAAAATATTTCTGTGCGAGAAGTTTAAATTTTTATTTTACGTAAAAAATAGATTAAGTCCTCAAAAAAAAAAAAAAAAAAAGTTCTTTTCTTTAGGTATATTTGCCGTATAACGCCCACCCCTTTTTTAAGCAGAAACCTGAAATGTACGTATGCTATACTCTCATGATTTTCAATTATTTATTTGAGGTATTACGTCAGTTTTGAAAAAAATAAAGGAAATTTCTAGAGCTACAACTCTATTAGTTCATAAGATATGTCATTTCTTTGAAATAAACAGTTTTTTGATCCATGTGAAAGTCTTAATTTTTTTTATGCTAATCTCTTTTTTTTTTTATTTTTACTTTTAAAGCTTTCATTTTTATACCCTGCGTATACCATACACCCATAAGTTTCGATACTATTTTTTGTGTTAAAAGTGCGTGTAACACACCAGTTTTTACGGTTTATTATTATTTAATATTTTAAAAAAATCGTTAGAAAAAAGTTATTAGGTTTTTAAAAATGAATTAAAGAAGTTTATTTTTAAATTGTATTATTTGAATTTTTCTATTTGACTTTATAGAATAAATTTTCAATGCTGAAATACTTTTTTGTATGGAAACATAAATCAAATACAGAAAAAGTTGTGTGTGGTTAAATTGAAAAAATGGGACCACCAGTTTATCATTTCAGTAACATTGGTTTGAATATTATGCAATTATTTTTTTTAACTTAATTTCCACTAAAAAAATACAAATTAATTATTTTTACGTTTAAAAATTGAATTAAGGATTTTTCCCTTTATTTCAGATTCTTTTTTCAAATGCATAAAAGAATTACATAAGAAAAAAAAAAGCAACTTCCGTCGAGCCGGAGACCAACCTATGGATATCAGTTTAGAAGCACCTACAGTCCACCGCTCTGCCAACTGAGCTATCGACGGTTACAGGGCAAGTTGGATAATAAGCAACAGCAAACAGTTCGATTATTAGGTCACTAATAACAAGTTCGATTGTAAACTACTTTCTGGAAAACTAAAAATGATTTTTATTTATCTTTACGGTAGAATTTTTTTTGGAATAAATAGGATTATTTGTTAAAAGTTATATTTTTTATATTGTTGATATTCATAAGCTCGCTTCATCAGTTACGAGAGTAAAGCAGTAGTAATTTTAATTTACATTGGATTAAACACATTTCCAAACATATTCTTTTTCTTACTGTTTTAATTATTAAAGTTTATTGATAAATTAGAATGGGGAAAATAATTCTCTTTTATTTTTAACTAACTAAACCAATTGATTAACTAAGTGAATTTCGCCTGGATATATTAATAATGTTTGAAGTCATCTGCGAAAAAAAGACTCCTTCTAGTATTACAGTGAAATTGCTTAACACGAACTGGAGGAACAGAATATTTTTTCGCTTGAGATTTGGTTAAAGGATATGCAAAAAAAAAAACTATATACATGAACAAAAATATTATTAGAGTTTATTCATACATAGATCGTTATATGATATACACTCATGTCCATAATAAGATAATGAATTCGGCAAAGAAAGAGACAGAAGCAAAACAAATTTGACTTATTTGTAAGTCTATTTATTAAACAAAAGGTAAAGGCAAAAAAGATGCTATATGTTTGACATAATTACTAAAAATTTCGATTTTACAACCCTGGAGCAAATTTCAAAAAATAAACTATTTATAAAAACAGTATAACATGGTTAGTACGATGGTTAATACGGAGAATGGCTCCCGGACGATGCAATACAGGCCTTACAACGCCTACGCATGCTGAGTATCAAATTATCAATTTGATCTTGGGAATATTACACCACTCATCAAGCAATGCCCTCCGAAGTTCCGGTAGACAGGTGGGAGGGGTTGACGGGCTGCAATTTGTCGGCCAAGCATATCCCACACATGCTCTATTGGATTCAAGTCCGGTGAGTATGCTGGCATATCCATACGGGTGATATCCTCCGATTGAAGGCATTCATCTACAATGTTTGCACGGTGAGACGGGCGTTGTCATCCATCACCAGAAATTCAGCACCCAATGGCGCCTTGAAACAAACGTACATGTTGTTCCAGAATGACATCCCGATAGATGTGGCCTGTCATCGTTACACTCTGAACATGCAGGTCAGTTCTGGAACCAAGAATAATTCCTCCTAAACGAGCCGTCCTGCACCACCTTAACGGTGTCGTTTAATGGTGTTCTCTTGGTGGTAGCGGGTACGTGGCGCTCTCCATATGAAAGTCCGGCGAGAATCAGACTGCAAACTAAACCTGGACTCGTCGGGAAACATCACACAAGACCACTGTCGCGGTGTCCACAATGCATACTTTCTACTCCAGGTTAATCGCAGGCGACAGTGAGTTGCGGTAAGGGGAACACATCTGACAGGCCTACCAGCATATAGACCAATGTGCCCTAAGCGTCTGTACACGGTCTGCCTTGAAACTGTCGTACCGGTAGCTGAAGAGAGCTGACGAGATAAGTCTGATGCTGTGATCCGTCTTTCTTTTGGCAGTAACTACCAAATACCGGACCTCATTTGGCGTTGTAACTCTGGGGCAACTTGCGCTGTAACATCTACTCACATTACCATCATCTTGGAATTGTTGCCAAAGCCTGGAGATGACACTCTGGGCGATTCCAAGTTCCTCGGATACTTCCAACTGGTACGTCCACATTCCAGTCGTCGATAATTCTACCACGTAAAAAATCATCCAAATGCTTCCTTTGTGCCATAACTAAGCGGTTATTGCACTGAAAGGCTTTTAAAGCGCTTGTGAACAATTTTACTTCTTTGCCACCATTCCTTATATACCCCTCTCTTACACTCTCGTCATTTGACGTACTATCCGCGCCATCTGGTGGTTTCCTGTAATTTGTATATTCTTCTTCAAGATTGTGTGATAAACAGGTGAAATTTTTATTTTAGAGTTCAATTTCTGTGTGATTCAGAATTATCCTTAAATTATGGACATGAGTATATTTAATAAAAATAAATGAAACAAAAGCATTCTCAAGAAATTATGAATTTAAGACAAAATTTTCAAGTTTTTTGAAAAAAAAAACATTTACTGAGTTTTTAGAAAATAATCTGATATATTTCTTTGCATTGTTTTTCAATTCCTACTATTAGTTCGCTCTCTCCTTAAAAAATATATTTATATATCTTGTTCAAATTTTCAATTGTTATTATAATACTTTCTATTAATCCATTCAAGTTCAAATATATTTTTTAAACTTGTAGTGGATGATACTTAATGTAAATACAGTTTTTCAAATATTAATTCATTAATTAAATTAAAAAATGAATAAATAGTAACAAATTAATAGTCCAACAGCATGTATAGAAAGGAAACTCCTTCGCTTCATCCTGTAGCGCAATGGATAGTGTGTTGGACTTCTATCCAAAGGTTGTGGGTTCGAATCCACCTGAGATGGCCTATTTCTGAGACGTATTTCGTTTTTTTACTATATTATTTTATTAGAATAGTTAAATTTAATTAATGAATAAATAGTAACAATAAAAAACAAGATATCAATCATTGGCATGGCCAAGTAATTTTAGCGTGTTTTTCACATGTTGTGTTTTACAATATGTGAAATGTTGTGTTTAAATGTGTGTTTACAATATGTGAAATGTTTTTCACATGTTGTGTTTTATATGAACTTTTTACTAACAGAAAGTAGTACTATACTTAAAAAAAAATTTAAAAATTATTAAATTTAAATATGATTCGGCTCATCTAGGGCAAAAAATGCGACCAAATGCCGAAAACCGAGGTCAATCGGTTGCTTATTGGCTGAGAAAAAGGTACGACAATATATGGAACGAAGAGGAAGACGAAGAAGAAATTTGCGTCCTAATAGCGCTTTTTTTACACTACGTGAAAAATGCGCTAAATAGAGTCCAGCACCATATTTTGAAAGGAAAATGAGAGAGAGAAAATTGTGCAAGGAAAGTCTTTCTATTTTATCACTTAATATAGTGATTCTATCATATGTATATACATATTTAAATTATTGTAACTATTTTATAAAAAGTAGCTGATATAAAGCTTTTCTTTGTTGACCTAAGTAGGAAATAACTTCAAATTTTTTTTTATATATATATGTATTACTTGTTTGGTATCAAATTGTCATTTTGTTATTCATTTCTCCATCAGAATGTGCATAACTGCTAAATAACTGTTCATTCTTTTCATCACGTTCCTTCCTCATTTCGAATGATTGGGGAACAGGAACTGCATTACTCATTTCATGTTCATCATATGAATCGGCATCAATGATATTTTTTGAGCTCTGAACAAATTTCAAAATGTCTTTGTCTGCCTTAAATGGGGCTGTACACACATTTTTGTGTCATCATCTACTGCAATGAATTCTTCCGATAATACAATAGGACAGACCAATCCAGCTGGTGTTTTCCGTATTTTGCTCGATCCCTGAAGGGAACTCTCTTCGTGTTAAGCGACTTTTGTTTCGTATTAAGAGGAAAAAATACATGAAATACGTAGCTGTTTCTTGGGATCGTGTATTTTTTCGTGTTAACCGATATTTCGTCTTAAGCGTTTTTGCGTTAAACGTATTTTACTGTAATTAATTTCAGGATATTTTAGGATTTGCTCTTTTCATCTTGATTTAACCAACTTGGACATTATTTTGATTTTTTTGCGTGTAAGTTTCGGTAAAACTTTTTACCATCGTTTTGTAAGGGAACTTTATCATTTATTTTCGAACTTTCTCTCTCTTTTCGTTTTGATATTAACAACAAATTTTTCGAAAATCGAAAGGATTAAAGAAAAAAAAAATGGAATTATTTTATATAATCGTTTGCTAAAAAAGTCTAAGTTAAGGTTAATAAGATGCATTATAAAATACAATAAAATCAAGAGATCCTTAACTTTTATCGATATTCGAAATCTTTCTAAATAAATTTTAAATGTTTCTCAATTTTAATTATTTTATTTTAGAACCTAAATACAAGAATTTATCATAAGCTCGTGCGATATCTTATAACATTTTTTTTAAAATTAATTATTTCTTAAGCCGTAAACTTTACTGAATAATTAATTTCCTGCCCTGAAATGTAATTCGTATATATATGTGGGGTGTGCTGGTTGGTTTACACAAACACACCGCTTGAACAACAGAATATCCGTTTATTTGGTGAAGATGAGGTATGACAGGTTCATGAAATATTTACAGAGAAATGTACAGTTCCGTTTTCCAGACTTGTGTAGAGAGTTAGTTTCCTCATAAACAGCACTCGCATATGTTAATGGTGTATCTGGTCGCCTACTCGCGATCAGACAATTCGCAGTTAGTCTCTCCTCGAGAGCCTCGGTTAGACGTCTCTCCTGCGCGAGAGTTTCCGGTCCCACTGTGTCTGTCTTTGATCTGCGGCTGCAGGGGTATTAGGGCGAAGGTGCTGCTTCTGGTGGAAACTGAGGAATCAATTCCCACACACACATATATATATAATCAAAATTTCTCTACAAGAGAGAGATGAATTAACATGATTAATACTTAAAAGAATAGCAATTGCTAGATAACCAGACAACAGAATTTAAAAGAAGATATGAAAAATTGAAATAACAGAGTAAAATATAAATACTAGCTGTTACCCGCCCGCTTCGCTGGGTATTTCATGATGTTTTATAAATTTTTACTGCTTATATATATGTATAAATTATTGATATCTAAGTCCTAGCATTAAGAATTCGATTGAATTGAAAAATATACTTATACCTGTAACTGTCACCTGTTGATAAAAAAAAGGGCAGAACTCATCTAATTTGTATTTTCTAAAAATCTCTAAAATTGAAGCATAGAATGATGTTTGCTCTTTCGTAACTCAAAAACCAAGTGGATTCCCGCAAAACCAATTTTCGGTGGATCTCTACTCCGTAAATTGAAC